GGTTGCATACTATGTACGCTCTTTGGTATCTCGCATTTTCATGTGACAATGTCTTCTGGAAATCACTCCGTAGCAACATGTTGAGATTGCCCTCATACTTTTTGTGGTTCCCTATTCTCCATCATGTGGAGGTACCATAGTTTATTCAGTAAGGGACTGGATGTCAGAGTTTATTCAACCAGGCCCCTATTGATGGATGCTTGAGTTGTTTCATGTTTATTTGCTAGTACATATAAGGCCTCAGTGAATAACTTTGTGCATATGTCATTTCATATTTGTACAGTTATGGCCTTAAAATAGATTTCTGGAAATGGGATTCCTGGGTCAAAGGGAAAATACAGCTGTGATCTTGACAGATATTGGCAAATTCTCCTCCAAAGGAGTTGTATCATTTGGTATTCCTAACAAAAATATATGACAGGACTTATTTCGCCACAGCCTCACCAACAGAGTATATTGTCAAAATTTTGATTTTTGCCAATTTGGTGGGGGACAAATGGCATCCCAGCGTAGTTTTAATGTATAGCTCTCTCTCTTTCTGACCAGGGTTGGGAAACTTTCCATATGTTTAAGGAACATTTGTATTTCTTTTTCTATTCAGTTCATGTATTTTGACCTGTTTAGGGTTGTCGGTGTTTTTCTTCTCGATTTCTAGGAACTCTTTACAGTAAGGAGATAAATCATTTGGTTGTGAAATAAGTCTCAAATATTCTTTCTTAGTTTGTCATTTGTCTTTTGACCTTTATGATTATTTTTTTGTGTGTGTCAGGAAGATCAGTCCTGAGCTAACATCCATGCCAATCCTCCTCTTTTTGCTGAGGAAGGCTGGCCCTGGGCTAACATCTGTGCCCACCTTCCTCTACTTTATATGGCATGCAATCACAGCATGGCCTGATAAGCGGTGCATCAGTGCGCGCCTGGGATCTGAACCCGGGCCGCCAGCAGCAGAGCGCCCGCACTTAACCGTTAAGCCATGGGACCGGCCCCTGACCATTATGATTATTTTAAATGCAAAAGCCTTTAAAAAAATCTTTATGTAGTCTGAGTCACAGTTAAAAAAGTTTTCTCCACTTCCAGGTTTTTTTTTTTTTTTTTGGTGAGGAAGATTAGCCCTGAGCTAACATCTGTTGCCAATCCTCCTCTTTTTGCTGAGGGAGATTGGCCCTGGGCTAACTTCTGTGCCCGTCTTCCTCTACTTTACATGTGGAACGCCTGCCACAGCGTGGCTTGATCAGTGGTGTGTAGGTCCACACCCAGGATCTGAACCTGCGAACCCTGGGCCGCCGAAGCAGAGCATGCAAACTTAACCACTACACCACCACACCAGCGCCTCTACTTCCAGGTTTTAAAGAAACTTGTCCATGTTTTCTTTTCGTATTTGTATGGTTTCATTTAAAAGTATATTTGGACAGCTGCTGATTGATTGGAGTAAAGTTTTTTTCATATGGCTTTTGCATACATCATGTCAAATTTATTGCTAAGTATATTATCTTTTCTTGCTGCCATTGTAAATGGGATTCTCTTCCAAAATATCTTCCAACTGGTTAATGATTGTATGTAGGAAGACTATTTGTCTATTTGTATTAATTTGGTACCCCGCAAATTTTGCAGGATTCTACTGTTTATGGTAGTGAAGGAGAGGAAGACTATCCTCTACCCACTCTGGGTCCTGTCTGGCTGGGCTACAAATTAAACTGACATGACAGAGAATAGCAGGAGAAAATCAAACAAAGTTTTATAACACGTATACATGGGAGAAACCAGGGGAACTGAGTTTCTGGACAAATGGTGGAGGTTTTTACCTTAAATAGCATATTCACTAGACAAAGGAATCCTTGCTGGGCCTGGGGGAGTGAGCTATGGGAGATTACCAGAAAGCACAGTAAACAAGAGTATGTGGATTTAAATCCTTGCCTTATGTACTGATACGAGTTTCTACAGATAATGTCATCCTCCCTTCTTCCTGGCATGGAGAGGGAGATATCTTTACAAACGGAGATGTTCCTTATAAATGTAAACATCTCTTACAAAGAGTAACTTCTACTTTTTAGAGTTTCTTTCCCTTCTGCAATTTCTTAAAAGTAACCAGCCCAAAATAATCCTCATGCCAAAGAGACATATTTTAGAGTGGCCAATTCTGATCTCCCACAGTAGTTTTCCCATTGATTCGCTTGAGTTTTCCACATATATAAGCATCAATAAGGAGAGAGAGTTTTATATCCTTATTTCTAATTCTTATGGCTCTACCTCCTTCTCTTACTTAATTGAATTGGCTAATACTTCTGAAAAGTTGTTAACTAGTTGTGACAATAGTGAATATCTTGTCTTATTCCTTTCCTTTGTGGGAGTACCTCTAACGTTTTCCCATCAAAAGAGATGTTGGCTTTGGGGCTCGTGTATGCATGTGTATAATTATGTTAAGAAAGATTTCATTGATTTTTATTTTATTGATTTTTTTTAATCAGTCATGGAGATTGAATTTTCTTTTCAGCATCAAAGGAAATGACCATGTGCTTTTTCTATGTAGATCTAGTATTTAATATTAATGGATTTCCTAGTATTGAATCATTCTTGCAATCCTGGAATAAATTCTACCTGGTCATTATGTATTTTGCTTAATATGCTATTAGGGTCTGTGTGACTATATATATATATATTTTTTTGTGAGGAAGATTAGCCCTGAGCTAACATCCAGTGCCAATCTTCCTCTTTTTGCCAAGGAAGATTGGCCCTGGGCCAACATGCATGCCCTCTACTTTATATGGAACGCTGCCACAGCATGGCTTGACAAGCAGTGCATGGGTGCACGCCCGGGATCCAAACCCGTGAACCCTGGGCCGCTGAAGTGGAACGCGCACACTTAACTGCTGCACCACCGGGCTTGCCCGTATGTGACAATATTTTATTTAGAGTTTTTTCCTCAATACTTGTACGTAGGATCAGGATCTGATTTTCTTTTATTGTGTGTAATCTTAACCATTTTTACATCAATTTGAAATTCACTTCATAAAACTAATCTGGAAGTTATCCTTTCTGTTCTATGTCTGTATATTTTAAGTTACATTGAAATGATCTACTCTTTAAAGGTTTGTTATAGTCCCGCTGTGAAAGCACCTAGGCCTGGCATTCTTTTTGTTGGTGGAAGAGCCCTTGATGACTGAGAGGTTCTTGAATGATATGTTTACTTGTACTTCTTTTCCAATCCTAGTTGTCTCGAATGCTGAGGGCTCCAGGAAGTAGGAAGTAGGAAGTAAGATTCCAGGATAGAGGATACCTCTCTGGAAGCAGATGGGACTAGGGGATGGAGTGATAGTATAATCTCATCTAGGCTGGGGGAGGAAAATGAGGGTAGCGATGTTGGTGGGTGGGAGGTCTCTGAAGAGAGGCTGCAGGAGAGGCTTAAGCTGAGGAGAGGTCAGCGGCTTCTTCCTCAAGACTTTCCTTCTCACTCTGCATTCCAACCTCTCCGGGGGCGGGGGGGGCGGTCTCTGTCTTATTTTCACAGCTGGGAAGGCAAAAGAATTTCCCATAGTCCACTGAAGTCCTTGGCAGCCTTTGTCTGTGAGGTCCTCAGAGTCACCTCACAGAGGGAGTTTGAACTAACAATAGTCAGCAGCCCCACTCCAAATTCTCCCCATTTACATTCGCTTTGAGCCAGTTTCAGCCAACAAGCCCCATGGCTCACAAACTTATTAAAAAGCCTCAGGTCATAGACATTCCTTTCACGCGTTGAGTCTGATTTTCTGAGGCAGCTCTCACCACAAGAGGCTTTGGAACACCTGCCCACTGCTGGATGGCTCCACTGTGAGGTGGCTTTGCTATGGCAGATGGTGGATGGGGGTGAGGGGACACAGGGCAGGCTCTTCTGGATGCCTTGAGCAGCCGTGTACCCTTCTCTCCCCTGCTTCCCGTCTCCCTGCTCCTTCAGCCCTCTGTGGACCTGCAGGGGTCAGGGGTCTCCTTGCCCCCTTGGCCACAAGACAGCCCACCACCAGGAGGCGCCAGTCCACGAGGCAGAGAGTGGGAGCACTTGGCTGAGGTCATAGCCTTGCAGCTGCAGGATGTTGCACTTGATTAGAGGCGGGGAAGAGGAGGGAGAAGACAGTTGTGATATCCCGGAAGCTCACCCACCACTGCTGAGCCAGAGGGAAGACTTTGGATAGGCGGAATCTCAAAGACACTGCTGAGAGATTGGGCTCTGCCCTGAGAGAACCCTAGGTGGTGTTTCCTGGGGACAAGTCTCAGGCCTGTGGAAAGAGCAACCACTCTCAGCCCCCTTTGTCCAGTGCTGGGATCTCTGCCGGGTCACAGGTTTCTGACTGGAACCGGTGGAGTTGGCTGTGGGCTGGTGTGGGTCTTACAGGACGAGGGGAGGGCTGGGCTGTGAAAGGACTGGAGGAGCCTGGGGAGTGTCTTACATTCTAGGCCAGCACTTCTTCCCCATTTACAGGCAAATGGATTCCCTTCCCCAGCACCTACAGCCACCCAGCAGCCTCAAGGCCAGCCAGAGCTGCCTAGCCTACAACCTCAAAAGTCGGGGGAGAAAAAATATGGTGGCTCCTTTTAGAGCTTTTAAGTGGAAATATGAGTCAGCTGCTGACTGATCACAGAGGTCACCCTGCACTGCAGGGGCTCAGAGTGGCCCTGGGAGCTCTCAGTCCAGACCTGCCCCTCACAGCTGTGCTGCTCAGCTCTGGCTGTGGCCACTGCTGAGTGGGTGGCCATACCAGCGAGCCCGGTGAACCCCGTGGGTAACAGGTTCTTCAGCATCTTGAGCATTACACAGATGCCCTTGAGCTCGTTAGATAAAGGCTGATAAAAAAAAAAAAGTGCATTGTGACAGAACTTAAAAACAGTAGATTGACTAATAGTAATCCAAAGACCAGTGTACCTCTAACCACATTTTTGTTTATTTTTTGATGTGTTCCTTCATGGTCTTTCTTGTGGCTCGCTCTATGCAGTTTACGTACTTGTCGAGAGTTTTATCTGTCTGCGACATTGTTTTTGCTGAACTCGGTTTTTCCGAGACCCTCTCTCCTCATAGGCTCAGTTTCACCACCATCTGCAGTCGGCCAGTTTCGGTGGCAGAAGAGGCCACATTTGCTTCCTGTAGGCCCTCTGGGCAGAAGCATGCAGTGGTGTCTCCTCCTGATCTGGGCCCAGGGGCTGAGGCAGGCCCCCCTCCCCGCCTCAGGTAAGGCCTGGAACTGGAGAAGGAGGAAGAGCAGGGAGGAGGAGAGGGCTGGCTGGGAATGAATGCCACATTTTTCTTGGGGAAGGAAACACAGTTTTCAGAGTCCTGTGTCCCCTTGTGTGAGAAAAGGTGATCTCTGAGAAGAAGGAGCAGTTCTGTTTCAGGCAGCAGATAAGCTAACCCTTGGGGTTAGGTGTTCCTGACCAGCCAACCCGAGAAAGGAAGCAGGCGCAGAAAAAGGGACTGAGGAGGAGGAATGATCAGTTTGCCTGTAGAAGTTCATTCCTGCTGCACTGTCCTTTCTTCTGTCCTTGAGGAAGCTTCTAGAAAAACATTGTATGTTTTCTGTGGGTCAAAAATGTCTTCTTCACAGATTCCAGAGATTCTACCGTTATAGACTGAAATTATGTTAAATCGGTTTCCTTCTATATTAAAACTCATAGACAAATGTTTCTGAGGGGGGCACAAATATTTAAAAACTATAGTATAATTTAGTATTTGTTGCTTTCTGAACCGTCTGAGGGTGTGCCCACGGGTGCCGGGGGTGATCAGCACTGAGGAGGGTGGTTTTGCCTGGAAGAAACTGAGTTTGTCTCCAAGCCTCCTTTTTTTGGATTTTGTGGCTTTCCTGAAGGTTTTTCCAGGTGCCCCAAATGACAGTCAACCAAACAGCCAGGTTTTATTTCAAAGGATAATGTGCCCAGCATAGGACCAGCTGCTGGAAGTACAATAAAACAGACGTGGTGGCTGATAAGGGCTTATGTTCTAGATAGGGAAACAAAAATAAAGTATACGGAAATAGTCAATGAGCTCGTCGTGAAACTATATTACAGCAGAATACCCTTAGAGGGTGAAGGGCTACGTTGTGTAGCAATTATAGCCTACCTGGGAGAGTGACAGGATGGACTGGAGAGACTATCACTCCAAATACCAATTCTGGCCTCAAAGCCCCTTGGAATTTCTACGGGAACATTCAAGGCCAGCTGTGTGTGACCCAGGACTCATGCGTGCTTTTTCCCTTCCCTAGGAGCTGTGACAGGCAGAATAGTAACAGTGGGGAACATTTCTGCAGAGGAGGGTGGCTCTGTTACCTTACAGTGTCAGCTCTCCTCCACTGCTGCCAAAGTGACTCAGGTCAACTGGGAGCAGCGGGACCATCTTCTGGCCGTGCATCATTCTAGCTTCGGGTGGCACATCTACCCAGCCTTCAAGGAGCGAGTGGCCCCGGGCCCCAACCTGAGCCTCACCCTCCAGTCACTGACCGTGAACGACACAGGGGAGTACTTCTGCATCTATTACACCTACCCTGACGGGATTTACAAAGGGACACTCTTTCTGGAGGTCCTGCAAAGCTCAGGTATGCCCTCTGGAGCAGGGTGGCTGAGGAACCTCATCCTCTAGGGTAGAAAATGCGTTCCTCCCAAACACTCTGCAGAGCAGTGTCTCTCAACACTGGTTCACATTCGAATCATCTGGGAGCTTTTAAATGATCCTGATGCTGGTGCCCCATCCCAGACCAATTCAGTCAGAATCTCTAGGGGCAGAGCCCAGGTGTGATAGGTTCTAAAAGCATCCTCAGGGATCCAGGGATTCAAATGTGCAGCCAGGATTGAGAACCACTGTCTTGGGTAAGGAGCACATCTTATGTACATTTGTGAGGAAGACCGGTTGTTAAGGTCATTTGGGAAGGGTTCCCATTCATTGGTTTAGTATCAATCATGCAAATTAGAATTAGCCCTTAAGTTGATCAAGGATTAGAGCACAGTGTACAGTGTGTAAATGTCCAATAATTTACATTTATGTGGGACTTCATAGTTTCCAAAATGCTGTCACATTCATTATCCACCTGGACACTTAAACCAGTTCTTTGGAAGGTGGGAAGGATTATTATCATACCTTAGAGACAGCACAGCAGAGTGCCGATGGGCTCAGACCAATGCCAGACAGCCTGGGTCCCCATCCTGGTGCTGCTGTTGACCTCACACAAGATTACTTAGCATTTCTCATCAGTTTTCTCATCTGTGAAATGAGGGCTGATGTAAGACCTGATGAGGTGCTAAAGTAGAACTGAATTACTCACTACAAGAAAATGCCCTTCCCTCAGTGCCTGGAACGTGGTAAGCACTAAGTAAGCAAGTTTTAGCTGTGAATCCGATTCCCATTTGACTGTTGGATGGAGGTGGAAGTTGAAGCTTGGAGGTGCTCAGAGCGGTAGGGCTGATTTTAATGCCAGTGCTCTGGTTCCACTAAACCATGCCCTCAGAACTATCAGTTGTGTTGGAGATCAAGTTTTATGAGTTAGCAAAATATGTGCAAACTGGGAAGATAAAAGGTTACCTTAGAGTTTCTTTTCAAAGGCTACCTCTTGGCAGGCTCCCACCAAGGCCCATGCAGGGTGCAGCAAGAACCTTTTCTGGTTCTATGGACAGCCCTCTGCAGCTCCTCTGACCCCCTGCAGCTGTGTTCTCTATGACCCCATTGCCCCCTGTCTGCCTTCTTCCCACCTGTGGCCAAAGTGGAGGACTGCGTCCTCAGGGCAGGAGGAACACATTCTGGGGAATTGGGGCTCCCCTTCCTCTCCTGGTACTGTGTGGGTGCTGTGGGCACTGCCCTTATCCTGAGTGACTGCATCTCTTAGCCACCTTTCTGGCAATCTAAGCCTTTGGTTAGAGGGAAGAGGGCCTGGCCTCGGCTACATCCATCTCCTTTCAAGACTTTCCTGAACACCTGGGTTCTGCCCAAGCTCCTGGGAAGGAGGTGGGATGGGATGAAGCAGCCTGGGAACCTTACACCTACAGCACAGCACAGATCTGGGCAATTGTCCCGTTTCTCTCACACTCTTGTTGAATCAAATATCACTCATCTCTTCAAAATGCCCTTCCTGCCTCTTCCTCTTTCCAGTTACATTTTATGTCCTAATAGAAATTCCCTTGTTCATGCTTTAGTTCACGTCACAAATATTTGTTAAGCCCCTGCTGTGTGCCAGGCTCTGGGAAAACAGCCAAGGATAAAGCCTAGAACCTTCCTCCCTCCAGGGTCTCACAGCCTCACTGGGATAAGTGTGACAGGCCTAAGGTGAAAGGTTATATGGTTTTTTCTTTTTTGTATTTTAACATTAATTTTATTTTAAACTTTTTTTTACTAGCATGATTATAAATATGAAGTTTAATAAAAGAAAGAGTTCATTTTCTGGGTTTTTTCCTGGACGTTATTATTTGTTTCATTTCATGATTTTTACTGAAACTGGTTTTGTTGAATAGAGGAAGGGAGTGTTAACAATGGGTCTGCTCTGGTGTGAAATGTGTGAGGCGCGCCTCTGCTTGAGAGATTGGTCACTGATTTCATGGTGGGCCAGGCAGAAGGTCTGCTGTCCAAGGAGCTGGGCTTTAGGACTCCAGTCCTGTGGTTAGAGAAAGGCCTGGCCGATCCCCACCTCTGTGCCCTGACGCTGAGGCTTCCCTGGGGAATGGCTGCCCTGTGCTTCTGGCCTCTGCCCACTCACCTCTGTTTTTGTCCTCCTTCTAGTGGCTGAGCACAGCACTGGGATCCAGATCCCGTTGCTTGGAGCCATGGCCGCAGTGGTGGCGGTCATCTGCACAGCAGTCCTTGTGGTCTCACTGGCCAGAAAGGTAATGACTCTGGCTGCGCATCTCAGGCATGGGCAGCCCACCCCTGCCACCCTGGTCCTTTCAGGTCCCCTTTCTGTCAGGCCTAGATGTGATCCCCCCACTGCTCTTTGTGCCTTTCTCATGGTCCTTGCTCTGCCTCCTAGTGAAGCTGTTTATGCTGTTCTCTTGTCCTCTCCCTGGTCTGAAAGCTCCTGAAAGGTTGGACCTGTATCCTCCCCATCTTGCCGTCACCTACAGTTCCCAGTTCTTGCCTGTCCCTTAAGCCACTCCCCTGAGACTTTGACTTATCTACTATGAGTTTGATGCCTCTTGGGTATCTGCTCCTATGCTAGGGATTTTTATACATCAGCTCATTCAATTTTAGCAACGCTTCAGGAGTGCTGGGCTACCCGGCACTTTTGCAGGATGAGAAATAAACACTACAAAAATTTAGGGGTAAAAGGTGCATAGCAACAACAGTAGGATGTAAATCCTCTGTTATTTTAGCTTAAGAGGTCACATGGCTGAAAGGGTCCTGGATGGGGAACTGGAAGATTTAGTCTCTAACCTCAGCGTTGGGTGTGTGATCATAGGGAAGTTGATAATATTCCAGGTCTCCATTTCTTCATGTACAAAATGGTGATTATGATTCTGCTTGCTTTGTATTGCAGAGTTGTGATGAACAGGTGGCATGTTGCATGTGAAAGCTTTGTTAACAATGCAGAAATATATCAACGTCCTTGTGTCATAGACTGGTAGCTGTTGATTAGGATGAGTGAAAGAATCTCCCCTCCTTGTTTTGTCTGCCCTCTTGGGCCTTTTAAGCCATCCCAGGTTGCCTTAATTCACGTCACCAAACAAACATTCTGGGGGATGCAAGCCTGTGATTCCCAACATTGTTTTCCACCTCATCCTAGATCTGTCTCCCTGGTTCCTGATGCACTGTCCCTCCAGCTCTGGTTCCACTCAAGTAACAACTCATCTCTGTAGCCCTGATATTACTCTCTCTGCACTATGTACTTGGGGCTGTTATTACTGAAATATGTGGCTTTACAGCTACCACCTTTTTTTTTTTCCTATTTGTTTTGCCTGTTTTTTTCCTCCTATTCTTTCTTGCCACCTTTTTTTAAATATAGTTATTTTTAAAATTTTATTTATTTCTTTATTGAGGTCACATTGGTTTATAACGTATAAATTTCAGATGTACATCATTGTATTTCAACTTCTGTATAGTCTGCATGGTGTTCACCACCAAAAGTCTAGTTGCCATCTGTCACCGTATATATGTGCCCCTTTATCCCTTTTTCCCTCCTCCTGGTAACCAACAATCTGGTTTCTGTATCTATGTGTTTGTTTGTTTGTTTATCTTCCACATATGAGTGAAGTCATATGGTATTTATCTTTCTCAGTCTGACTTATTTCACTTAGCGTAATACCCTCAAGGTCCATCCATGTTTCTTGCCATCTTTTGAATTAAGTACTTTTTATTATTAAAAAGATTTATTTGGTAGTTATACATTTTTCCTTGTTATTCTTTTAGTGGTTACACTAGAGATTACAAAATATGCCTGTGACTTATTAAAGTCTAATATATATTAGTACTTTAATGATTTCTTGGATTATGCATGAACCTTAGAACACATTAACTCTTTTTACTTACCTCCTCAACTTTTGCTATTATTGCCAGTATTTTAGTTCTTTCCACATTTTAAACCCCAAAAGAAATTATTCTTGTTTTGTGAGTCAGAATTCACTTAGATTTACCCTGTTGCTCTTCATTTCTTCTTGCATGTCCTCTCGTACAACTAGGGTCATTTTCCTCCTGCCTAAAGAATATTCTTTAATATTTCCTTTTGTGCAAGTATGCTGGGGATGAATTATCTTGGTTTTTGTTTGTCTGAAAATCTCTGTATTTTTCCTTAGTGTGAAAACGGTGTATTTGTTTTGCTGGATATGGAATTCCATGATGGCAGTTACTATCTTTCAGCACACGGAACATACGATTCCTTTGTCTCTGGCTTCCTCTATTTCTGTTGAGAAACTGTGTGAGAGGCTTATTTTTGCTTCTTTGAAGTTATGTTTTTTTCTTGTGGTTCTTTAAAAAATTTCTTTCTCTGGTGTTCAGCAATTGTTCAGTGATATAATTAGATATAACTGTCTTTGTATTTATTCTGTTGGGGTTTGGCGAGCTTTTTGAACTTGTGGCTTAATGTCTTTTGTTGGTTTTAGATCATTCCAGGCTATTGTCTCTTCATATATTACATCTTCATCCTTGTTTTCCTCTTCTTCTGGAATTCTAATTACAGGTATTTTCAACATTTTGACTTTTCCCCATGTCTCTTCTTATCCTCTTTTTTTGTATTTTCCATCCACTTGTCTCATCAAATTTTAGAGTGGATGTTTTCTTTTGATATACCTTCCAGTTTACGAAGTATCTTCTTTGATGTCTCTAATCTTCTGTTAAACCCATCCATTAACTTCTTAATTTCAGTTATTGTATTTTTCAGATCTGGGACTTCCATTTTGTTCTTTGTTTGAATAGTTTACAGTCCTCCAAAATTCTCAATCTTGTCTTTTAATTCTTTGAAAATATTAATTATAGTTATCTTGAAGTTTGTGCCTGATAATCCTATTAATTGGGTCCTCTGTGTGTCTTTTAATGTTGGTATTTTTGCTCCTATCTTGTCTTCTTGACCATCTGGTTACTTTTCATTGAGTGCTGTATATTCTACATGGAAACCTATGAGGCTCTAGATAATATCATTTTCCTCCAGAGAGGATTCCTTTTTGCTTCTATCAGGTGACTACTCTGGAGGCACCATCATTCCCAAGTCACCTTAATTAAATCAGTAGTGAGAGGATGTAAAGCTGGACTTAATTTCTAGTACTTCCTTACTCATAGAGTGTAGTCCTTTGGGGACTCAACTAAAAGCCAGTGGTGTTTGCCGAAGTCTCCTCTCCTTGGTGGTTTCCAAACTCCAAATTTTGTCCATCCAGCCATAAGCTCTGTGTTATCTGCTGTATTAGCCTCTCAGCCATAACTTTCAGGCAATTGCCTCCCAGAGAAAATGTCCCCAAATGCTCATCTCATCTCTCTGGGCTTCCTTCTTTTGGATCTTGCTGCCCAGCCCACAAATTCCTCACTGATTTTGTAGATCTCTGATTACTACAAATAGCTGTTTCTAACATTTGCTTCAACTTTTTAGCTGTTCTCGGTGGAAGTGTTGGTTCAAAGCAACATATTCAATCATAATTCTAGCAGAAGCAGAACTCCTTGATGTTGTATTTCTTATCAGCTTTCAAAGGTTGACTTTTACAAGCAGGGCAGGCTTAGCTAGCCCGTCCACTCTGTACCTTGGGCTATATTGAGTCAAGACCCCCCCACCTGAGTTCTAGTCCCACTATGCCTGATTCCTGACCAGCCACTTAGCCTGCATCTGGCTGGGTCACTGCCAGTCCCAGAGAGGGGGTGAAGATTTGGACAGCTTTGTGTTCTTAGGCACTGGTTCCATCTTGCTTGCTGATTGTGAGTTCTTGCCCTCTTTCTCTCTTTCTCCCTCTTCTAGAAATAGAGCATCCTTTGATTTTCTCTTCTTTCTTATTTAACATCTATTTGACTTTTTAAACTCTTGTCACTCCCCTAAAGACCATAGAGACCTGTTTCCCTCTCCAGGCCTCAAAGTTAGGATAAATTACACAAACTAGAATTGCTTAATAAGAAAGTGCCATTGTCATGTTCTTCTGCGTAGACCTCATGGTACTTGCATTTTAAACAGTTGGAATTCTATATCCCTGCCTTGATCCCTTTGTGTATATTTTCCTACTGTTAATTCTGCTTGTGGAATTCTACTTTTCCTGCATACTCATATCTGTTCTCAGTGACTAATCTTGAACTTTTAGCCTAATACTTTACATCTTAAATTCTCTTCGTTTTCTGTGTAGATAAACCTATTTTGTTTTCCTTAACTACCATCAATAACAAGGGTATTTATGTAACAATAACATGCTCTGTTTGACACACATTCTATCTTTAGCCAGATCTACAAATGAAGAGAGTCCAAGAACCCTTACTCTAACTTTATTTCACTGAGAACAGATTGGAGCGAGGATGGGGAAACGTATTTTGGTAACAGAGCCAAAGTCATGTTCCCTTCTGTGAGTTATAAATTTCCCAGGTCTTCTCCAGTCATGGGTCTAACAGTTCTTGAAGCACCTGTTGGATCTTGCTAATATGGTCCAGAGAGAATTAAAGAGATCCTCCAGATAGTAGGAAAGCTCACGTGATAGGTGAAAGCTACATACGGTCTTACACCAGCAGATGACTCCTCGGTCCACCAACTCACCTGCAAAAATCTCTGTTGTCACATGGTTCAAACCCTCACTTCTTGGTTTACGAGGCAAATGTTGAGACTGATGACCTACCTGGTTCATAGACATGTGGCCACTTATTCTTTATCATTCAACAGACATGGTTGAACAGTGTGCTGGAGATCCAGCAGTGGCTGAGATGTGGCTCATGCTATGGAAGAAGCCAATGACCCATAGTATTTTCATTTTTGTCTTGGCTATCACAGTAGACATGATTAGGAAATGAAACCACTGGGGGAAATGAGGATAAGAGAAGTGATTGACTAGAGGGGAGATGTGAAGAGAATGACGATTGCTTTCTGAGCTTGGAAGGGAGCAGCTATCATGTTTGGTGAACAGATGTCCTCTGTTGTCACCAGTGTTCTACGGTTCTGGAATGGAAGTATGGAAGGCTCTTTAGAAGCAGCAGAACAAATTTTCTTATTAAGGATTAAGACTGGTTAATTTTCATGCCAGTAACCCAGACTAACTTTGGTCATTTTGTATAGGAGATGGGGAAAAGGTGAAAAGAGAGAGTCCAGTAGCTATCAAGTCCTGTGGCTCCCCTTCTATAATGTTTTATTCACCAGCCCCCTCTTTGACATTTCCACTGCTGCCTGTCTAATTTCAGGCCCTCTGCTTCTTTCATGTACTTTGGCTATAGTCTCCCATCT